CCTACTTACTCTGGCCGCCTTCTTAATTACAACTCCTTCCATCCTATACTGCATAAAATTGGCACTATCATAGGGTTAGTGGATAGAGTAATTTTTTTGAGCCACCCAATGTTCCATGTAAGAAATTTTGAGTTTGTTTTCCACACATTGGTTATGAATGGTTATCCCATCGAATTTGTTCTTAGAATTTGTAGAAGACGTGCGTTTCGATTAATTGAAAAAATGAATACTGTTCCACCGGGTACTTCTTCGTCTTCCTTGTTACCCACTCGCTCCTTTACTATTTTTCCTTATTTGGGAATGATTTCAGATAGAATCAGTAAGATTTTTAAAGAATTTAATAAGGTTTCATGTTTTAGTATTATGAACAAGCTTTCTGGTCTGGTCCGTGTCCATAAGGACGTTTTGCCTCTGAATCTTCTGAATAACGTTGTGTATAGGTTGGAGTGCGGGGACTGTGACTCGTCTTACGTTGGTCAGACGAGCAGAAGGCTCTCCACTCATGTATCTGAACATAAACGACTACCTCGAGATCTTACTTCGCATCTCTCTGTCGTACAAGAGCACCGTGTTAATTGCGGCCACGAATTTGAATGGGATAATGTCAAAGTTTTGCATAAAGAACATCTATTTTATAAAAGAATGATTGCAGAGATGATTTTTATAAAAATGCAGACGCATGGACTGAATTCCCACACTGACACTGAGAATTTAGGAAAATGCTACAACATGTTGCTCGGTTTTACTTAGATCATATTTCGTTTGCGATTATGAAGTAAATATAAACACTGATTCTGTATTGTTTACGGCACTCGGAGGTACACGTTCATAGGCGTAACATCTCACCGGAACTTTCTGACCATTATAGAGGTATATATCATTATTTTGTCTTTTCCCTCACATTGGGGTTGGTTGCTCTATCTGAATACGTTTTTTAGATGATCATACCACAGCATCTTAGTACGTGCGATGGAGTGACCGGTCTCTGAATGAATTGCCGGTAGCTTCTGAATAATGAAACAACTCATTGTTTTAATCGATAGATTATGTTTGTGCCTCTGAGTCCCGTAGACAAAAGATTTTGTAGCGACTATCTTATGACAACCAATGTTAGCGCCGACTTTTGCGATTTTT